AGTATTGACACACTTTAAGTGTTAAAATGACGCACCTTAAATGTTAAAATGAGGCACCTTAAATGTTAAACTTAGGCAACTTAAGCTTTCAACAATACGCAAAATTACCATAATGTCATCGCATTTTTTTTAATTTATATTAATTCTGGTGAGTTTATTTTGTCAAGATCAATTACTAGGATTAATCCGCATATTTTACCTGGGGATCAAAATTACCATAATGTCATCGCTTTTTTTTCTTTTTTTTTTTTTTTTAATTTATGTTAATTCTGGGGAGTTGATTTTGTCAAGATCAATGACTATGATTAATCCGCATGTTTTACTTGGAGACCACCTTCGCATTTGATCTCTATATATATATATATATATATATATATATATATATATATATATATATATATATATATATATATATATACTATACTAATAAGAGCCCAAGAAAGTTAGGCCTATAATGGGTAGAAAAAATGGCGGTCACAGATTTTAATCAAATGAATGGCTCAGATTGATTAAAAGATTGATAAGATTTAAATTTTAGTGTATATATATATATACTATATACTATACTAATAAGAGCCCAAGAGAGTTAGGCCTATAATGGGTAGAAAAAATGGCGGTCACAGATTTTAATCAAATGAATGTCTCAGATTGATTGAAAGATTGATAAGATTTAAATTTTACACTAAAATTTCCTAAAATACCCACACACCGTTACTAATTCCGTTAAAATTTTAAGAATTGCCGTTAGTTCACCGTTAACTTACTTATTGATTTCAATAAAAAAAAAAAAAAAGGTCTTAGGTTCGAACCTCATCCCAATCAAAGTTGGCATAATTAGTACTCTATTTTACTCTTATTAAATTATATAAATAATAATTTAGTAGCTACAACAAAAAATTATAGATATGCATTTCTTTAATTTAGAATTATGTGTCCACAATGCCTTTATTCAAAAAAAAATTATTCATTATCAATAAATTAAATAAGAGAAATAATTGTATTAGTTATATTGTCTTTATTTTTCTACAATATAAAAATTCTTTATATTCAAACTTATTAATTGATTATATTCGCTACATTGTCCTTACAATGTATTAATTCAGTAAAAAAAAATTATTCATTATCAATAAATTAATTAAGAGAAATATTTTCATTAGTTATATTGTCTTTATTTTTCTCAAATGTAAAAAATTTTACATTCAAATTCATCAATTGATTATATTCACAATATTGTTTATTATCTTTTTTTGTGCACTATTTTTCTAATTAAATATCAAAGTTATAATACAAAATAATGCTATATATTTATTTACCAAGTATTTTATTAATACCATGAAAAAATTAAAAAAAATATAATTAATAAAGCCAACCATATTAACTACTTGAGAGCCAGTAACTTTCAAAAAAAAATATTAACTACTTGAGAGATTTTGTGACAAAGAGAGTATTCAAATCACACAACAAATTGAAGTGAGAATTACCTTGCAATGTCCTTGTTTGACAATCAGCAGTTAGCGGATTATATTAGCGGATTTGACCAACGAATTTATTTAATTATTAACATTGGGTAGAAAAAATGACCGCCAAATTATTAAATCAAATGAATGGTTCAAATTGTTCAGGTTTTAATTTTTTTTAAAGTTTTTCTAATTTATCCTTAATTATATGATTATCCATTTAACTTTTCTGTTAAATACCGTTAATTCACCGTTAGTCTAATTCTAATATTAACGTCTAATATGGAATTATAATTACACCATTAATCTAATTCTAATATTAAAGTCTTAATAGAACTTAACCACAAATCCTAATGTCGAAATCTCCTCAAACAATATTAGTATATATTTAATATTTTATGCTCTAATTTTTATTTGTTCTCCCTTATGCCCCGTATTTGGTTTCAACCATACCTATACAATTATTTTATTGACAATTATAATCAATCTTGACTATATTATCTTGCATTTGTAAACTTAGAATTACCTATTTAACCCGCACGGGCTTAGCTCAATGGTTTAGTGGGCAGTATTTGGGAGAAGAGACCAAGGTTTGAACCTCGGCGGCGGCAGTGCAGGAATTATGTCCAAAGTAGGCAGATTCCTTGTTCGCACCGGCATTTGGTCCTGTCTGTTGAACCATTGAGTCACCGTGATTTACAACTTCCCACAATGCTCTGTCGGGTCGGAGTGTGGGGGGCCCTTGGGGTTGGGGACTCAACTTTTGGGAGAAGAATTACCTATTTAAATACGCAAATTCAACCTTCAATTATCTATGCATGAACAATTTCATTATAATCTTGCCTTAATATACTTTAAAGTACTTATTTAAAAAAAAAACATTGGGCATTATCCCAATCGCGCAATGCGCGTAAAAGACTAGTATATATATAGGAACGCACTCAGGTGCGAATAAGTGCCCAGGAAGGAAATGCGAACGAATCAGCGCGTGACACGTGTCCAGATCTAATAACTTAAAAAAAACGCGGTGACATTTTCGTAAATAATTGAACATCGAAGTGCAAGTAAAATCTCTTATAAGTGCACCTATTTTCACCTATAAGTGCATGTAATTTTGCCTTGTTAGCATTCACTTTCCGCAACCATTCATGCACCTGGGTGTGCTTATAACTATATGTGCAACTATTTATAACTATAGGTGCAACTACTTATAACTATGTGCACCTACTTTCACCTATAAGTGCATGTAATTTTGTCTTGTTAACATTCATTGATCTGAGTTCAGCGGGTAGTAATACTCCTGAAAACCACTCGCAAACATTCATACACCTAGATGCAACTACTTATACCTATGTGTGCAACTACTTAGAACTATAGGTGCAACTACTTAGAACTATAAGTGCAACTAAGTATTGATGCTCGGTGTAAATTTTTACTTGCACCTATAATACATTTTACATGCACTTGTAATACATTTTACTTGCACTTCGATGTTCAATTATTTACGAAAATGCCACCGTGTTTTTAAAAAAAAATCAGTGTTTCTCATCCATTAGATCTGGACACGTGGACGAACAGAATCCATTCCTATTTCGCGCCTGGGCGATCCGTTCGCACCCGAGTGCAACTATATATATATATATATATATATATATATATATATATATATATATATATATATATATATATATATATATATAGGCTTCGAATCTGGTGCACCCCCTAATTAGATGATCCTGTGAGATCTCCTGATATCCATAGATTGATTCCCCATCAATGGTTGAGATCATGAGATCCCCTAAAATAAATTAAAGATTTATTATTAAGAAAAGGTCTGAAAAGTAATTGTACCTATTTGGCTAATTATGGATAAAATTATGATGGGATGTTAAGCATGGAATTAGGGATATTATTACAGGAAATATATATGGCGTGATACATCACCTCTGAAGACAAAAATGCACGTGAGACATAGCAGTGGGGTAGACGGACCGGTGAGGCTGCACAAACAAACATCTAGCGCAAAAAGAGGAAGGATAGCAGAAGCACAGGTGTGTACATTACCGAGTCTCGATTTGTGCGCGTTTGTTTGTTTTTGTTTTTTTTTTTGTATTGGTTTTTCCATTACGGAGTTTTTGTAGTAGACAACCAACAAATTGTATGGGTGTTGGTGCGTATATTGAGATTGACAAGATGTGGAAACCAACAACGACTACGAAAACTGTCGTTTTTGGGAGACCGTTTGGGTGTAATTTGGGCGTACTGGTGAGTGTGTGGCAGTCTAATATGTCGTGCAAACTGATGGTTATAATGTGTCAAATGTGAACGTGAGGTAATGAGTATGACAAGTAGCAGCTGCAGTTCAGCTGCGTATGCAGGGGAATGAGTTTTTTTTTTTAAATTTTTTTTTTATTTTGTTGTTTTGGTTTTGGTTATCTGTTTTTGGAATGTGGTTGGTAAAACTTGTCCTTTATTCTGCAATGGACAAACACTAGGATCAAAATGTTTGTTCGTAGAGTATGGTTTGGTCAAAATGTGTGAGGAAAAGGACTAAAAAGATAGTATTGGTAGATGCGTGATAGTATGTATGTTTGTGCACGATGCTTAAAAGTAAGGGCATTTGGGTGGTTACATGGTAGTAGGACAGTAGACGCAGGAGTGTATGTTAGAGTGTTTTGGTGGTTGCATGGTAGTATTAAGTCTTGTGCGCATTGCCTCAATTACGGTGGTGTTGGTGGTTGCATGGTAGTATGTCAGTAGACGAAGAGGTCGAAATACGGGCGTTTTGGTTGTTGCATGGTAGTCTGTAAACTTGGGCACTATGCCTAAATTGATTCGTCAACAATGTGGTTTTTGTGTTTATTGAGTTGTTTTTTACATGGTTGGTTGCATGGTAGTATGAAGGCTTGGGCATGACGCCTAAATTACGGTGGTGGTGGCTGTTGCATGGTAGTATGTCAGTATACGGGGTGGGAGAAAACCGGCGTATAGGTGGTTGCATTGTAGGTTGTATCTTTGTGCACTATGCCTAAATTAATTCGACAACAATGTGACAAAACCGGCGTGACTGGATTTGATGTGCGGAAAAGTTCCGACATAAAGAACAAGTACGGGATCATCCTGAAAAAGAAACTAGTGTGCAATCGTGAAGGGTTTAAAGATGCAAAACCAAACAACACATCAGAACAGAATACCACCACACAAACAAAACGACGACGCCCGTCTAACAGAGTTGGGTGCATGGCCAAAATAGTTTTCAGAAGAGACAGTGCGGGAAGGTACATGGTCAAGAAGTTTGAAGAAGGGAACACTCACTGCTTGTGCGAGGAGAGCTACAAACCTTTCTTGAAGGGGAACAGGAAACTAGATATTGGCCACCAACAATTCATCGCGAACTGCTCAAAAGTCAATATTGGGGCTAGTAAAAGTCATGACATGTACGCCGAGATGGTGGGTGGAGTTGAAAACGTGGGAGCAACACAACAAGACTTCAAGAACTATAGAAGGGAGATTTTGGCGTACATGTAAGGAGGAGATGCACAAATGCTGATATCCAAGTACCTCGATCTGAAATCGGACTATGACGATATGTATTTCGAATACGAGGCAAACGAGAATGACCAGTTGGAACGTGTTTTCTGGGCAAATGGTATGACAAGAAAGCAATATAGTGTTTTTGGGGATGTTGTGTCATTTGATGCCACGTACAAAACTAACAGGTACGCTCCTCAATTACGGGATGCAAAACTCCCTAACATTTACACCCCTAGTTTATGTAGTTACATGCGTATAACTGTAACGTTGGTGCGCGTACATGTTTCTAACCATACTGGAGTGAGTATAAGGTCGGTAGCCTGTGCATGACGCTGATATGGATACGAATGGTACAGATGATTTGTTACCGTAATATGCTAAAAATTTTATGGAATTTTGATTTCATTGTATGTAAGCCTGGCTTTTACAGTTGCTATACGTAATATGTACACCCTGATCATTATACGATGTAAAACATACTGTGCGTTATATGCGTAGTAGTTAACAAATTTCCTTGTGCAACAGGTATAGCCTCGTGTTTGTTCCATTCACCGGGATAGACCACCATAAAAAATGCGTAACATTCGCAGCAGCACTGATTGCTCGAGAGGATGTCGACTCATACTGTTGGGTACTAAGGAACTTCAGAAACGCAATGGGAAGCACACCACCACTCACAATAACCGACCAAGACCCGACGGTGAAGGTTGCAATTGCGCGAGATTCCCAGAAACTCGCCATCGTTACTGTATGTGGAATATAATGGCAAAGGTTGGCGATAAAGTGAGTCCTGAATTAGCCAAAAAGGAAGCATTCCGTTGAGAGCTGAATGATGTGGTTTGGAACGACAGCTTGACTACTGCCAAATTTGAGGTTGCATGGAAAGGAGTTATAGAAAAATTTGGCTTAATGGAAAATCCATGGTTGAACCGTATGTATGACGAGCGCGCATCGTGGATCCCTGCATGTTTTGAAGGTGTTTTTATGGGCGGGCTAGTGCGTACAACCTCACGCTCTGAAGCAGAGAACCGGATTTTCAGAAGCAACACTAGCAAACGTCTTTGTGTTTCGGAATTTTTTAATAGGATCGAGAGTACAATTAGAAAGCAACGCTTAACACAGATCGAGCTAAGCGGTCCCAACATTGCACAAACACCCCCCTACACGACCCAACTGCGCATTGAGCGAGCGGCAACATCACTGTATACATTAACTGTGTTTTATGATGTGCAGAAGGAGATATGTGCCGGATGCTTTGAATGCCGGGTGCGTGCTGTCACACACGGTGAGGCCGGGAACACATATGAGGTCGAGGATGAGCACGAGATACGATACACGGTGTTTGTTGAAAATGGGACAAGGACGACAACCTGCGAGTGCCGAATGTACAACCGGATTGGAATGTTGTGCAGCCATGCGTTTGCAGTGCTAATATATGACAGGAACGAGGATATACCCCCGCAACATATCACCCCCCGGTGGACACGAACCGCATTAACAAATTCACCAATCAAATCGTGCAATGATACGCTTCAGCGTGACAACCCTACAACACGAGGCAACAAAGAAGAAAGTAACGTGCTTAACACAGTGTACAGGTGTATAGCCATGGCGCAAGGGGATGTCACAAAGTTAGAACAAATCAGCAAAGCGCTGAAGGAGATTGAGTCCACATGGTGTACCGACGGTGAAGACGGGGGGGGGGGGGGGGGGGTTGTAGACAACGGGAAACGATTGATCAAAGAGACATTTTGTGGTGCCCAGACACTTGACTCAATCACCGTGCATCCCCTCGCAGTATCAAGTACCAAAGGTTCGGGAAAGCGAATGAGGACGACTAAAGAAATCGCAATGAAGGAGAAAAATAAGAAGAAACGAACATGTAAAACATGTGGACTCGCAACCGGCCACAACAGTCGAAGCTGCCCTAAAAAATAGAAATAGTATAATAATTCTAAATGTTAGTTTGTGCACCATTGTTTTGACGTTATTATGGAATTATGAGTAAATAAACATTTTCATTGAATATAACTGTCAGACCTGGTCCACGAATTCCCAGTAACAATCTAACATAAAAATACAAGGACCGTGCGTGAACGACAGGCATGGAGTGAGCGTATAGCCGCATGTGTATAGCTACTGTACGCAATCACCCATTAACATTTATGGAGACTAGAATAGATAATACTTTATTGAGAAAAAGAGTTTAACACCATGGTGGTTCGATGATGGATAAATGGATGTGGGAGTACTTTTTGCGAAATGCCACACGCAGATTTTTAAAATAAAAATGTTTTAAAAAAAAAAAACCTGGTGCGTGACTGTAAACTAAGCATGTGCGTAGACAATGAGTTTTCCAAACCAGAAACAAATTTGGGAGTTGTTGTAGGACACATCCGAAAACCGAATAAAGTTACCATGAAGTCCCATAAAACAAATCCAAATAAAAATTTATATAGTCAGAAATAGATGGATTAAGAATCATAATCTGAAAGGAAAGCGTCGAGTTGCGTTGGTGAAATGATGAAAAAAATGGATGGTGGATTAGTATTTGTGTAATGCCACCATTTGAAAAAAAAAAAAAAAACGTAAAAGCATGCGCGTGATCTTATTGTAGGCATGTGCATGGATAATGAGATTTGTGCACCCGCTAGTAAAATAAATAGAACATGAAGGAACATCATTATTACGAAAATGTTTACGTGGAAATCCGAAAAATACCACCAACAACTGGGAAAGGGGGACAGGCGTCTAAAACCACATTATTAGAAGATCCGAAATAATGTAAAAAAAATTAAAATAAATGAACGGCCTTCAACGACCCGCAGCATTCGAGCTCTTAACACGGGCGACATTCGCGGCCCTATGCGTGTTGCGTTGGAACAACAAAATATCAAACATGTATCGAACGCGTAATTCAAGTAAGGCACGCGCATCACCCCTACAGAGCCCACAATCCCATGAAGAATAAGCTTGGCCAACATAACACTCCATGTGACGCATGGCAAACACACCGCAATCCACTTTGTTCTTTGCATCTCGCCATGGTAACCGAACTCTACGAGGAACCAATTTTGCAGCCTTCAGATACAATGCGATCACCCCCACATCCTCGAGAAAACGGTCAGCAAATCATGCTACAAAAACCCCCGAAATATTTAAAACGCAAACAACAGAAACATATATTACTGGGGGAAACCCAGAAAAATGAAGGAATAAAACAAATAAAAAGAACATGCAACGACTGCACATACCAACACTGTTAGGGTATGACCATATTTGTTAAGCGACGGATCATCCGCGGACGAATTATCAATAACGTCAAAACGCATACGCCTAAAATCCACTAACACGACATAGTAGTGCTGCGTCTGAAGTATAGGAAAAAGCAACTGCAGCACAAAGAAATGCAACAAAACCCATTTTAAAAAATATAGGATGGCAGATGCGCAGTCTCCAAATGAACACAAAGTTGACAAACCATGTCTATATCATCCCACGAATTATAAGGAGACAACTTCAACTCGTCCTGCATGCTATCTGTAAACCACTGTAAGTGACTTCCACGAGGAGCCGAAACATCAACCACGGTGTACAACTACAATGTTAAAAAACAACCCAAAATCTAAACACCGGACCATGGAAAATCAAGATATCAAAAATGACAACTAGAGACAAACCGTAGTCATTGTGGAGACGAAGAGCCTGGACGGTTCACTAGCAACCTTTGACATTTCCCTAAAAGATAACACACAAGTCCACGCATTTAATATGCCAACTAGCACTTCATTACCTTCCAACAAAGACAACTCCTCATCCCTGTTTACAAAACCCCAAAAGAATGAGGATCATCATATCGCGCATAAAATTGGGAATAAAAAATCAAGTTATCTCAACGGTAATACATGTCATCACGCCCAGATCTAGCAATCCAATCGTAAACGTCTTGCGCAAAAGGTCCCTGCGCATGTTGAACGTGTACAGCACGTGAGCGTGTCCGATGTTCGTATGAATTCAAGTCAAGAGTTCTCAACGCGCGAACATTATCGAACGGCTGACGGGACTGTTTTGTTGGTGCACGGCAACATTCTGAATCAGTTATGGTGCTAACGGGCTGCATCCCTAGACGAATACGCTGCACAGCAAACCGATCCCAACTACCACCATGAGTAACGAAATAATAATTCCACATAGAATAACAGATATTGGAGAAATGGTAACGTCATTGCACAACATACCTCACCAGGAGTGAATAGGGTGACAGCATCAACATTAACCCCCTCTAGACGAAGACGTTTAGTAAAACCTCGACCGCGAACATCATTTCCAAGAGAACCAGTAACACGAGCACCAGACAAAAGAGTGCCGGGTGCACAAACCTACAACCAGAAATGAAATGATAAATGACGATGGGTAAACCCCATAAGCATACGCACAGACCAATACGTCTGTACGACCAACGAAAACCGCACGAGCAGCACCAATATTAATTAGATTTAAAAACGATCGGAACGTATCCAAGCATACTTACTGCATCACATGGGGCCGAAGACCACCCCCGAGGCATTACATTCGTTGAATGTGCGTTATATTCACGAACAATTGCATCCACCACGTCCCAACATTGGGAAGGCAAATCCTGCGACAATCCATCACCCACAGACGAAAAATCCTGAGACAACCCAAGACTGAACGAGGGGCAGAATGCATCATCCTAATAAATGAAAAAAACAGCCATACAAACTCCCCAACATATAGAAACATACAGTTTCTACTTGGACACCGCAGGAAAAAACGCAATAATGAAAACTTGTAAATAGACAACATCACATATACGCATAGCACCAAAACATCCTGCACCTGCATAAACACCGTGCAGTACCAAAAAATATACATAGTTACCAATATGTCAAAGATACAACCACATCCCATTCATGCCATCAAAACACATCAACCCACCCCAACACCTACTAACAAAATAAGTCCAAAAAATTACATACTAGAACAACCATTCCAAATCTAATAACGCCTTTTTTTCCTACACTGGCGAACAACCTTACTTACAGCATCGGGCCTACCCTCTCCCGTCCCCGCCTCACTCGGAGCATCACCGGTAGCATCAACGCACTGACTCGCACCCCCTACCGCATTTGCCTACTGCACAATGGGATCCTGCTGGTCCAACCCCGCACCAGATGGTGGAATTTCATCGACTGTAGACTTCTGTTGAACGGCACTAACAACCGCATCGATCGTCTGCAAGTTCTCCGAGTTGTCCCAGATATCATCATCGCTGAGCACATCAGTCCCCCCCCCCTCCCCCCCCCCCCCCCCAGACCAGCAGACGGTGCCCCACTAGTGGACCCAAATTGATCAGCCAGCAAAATTATCCTCCGAGCACCTACAACAACCCTATGAAAGCCATCTGTCGGGCCTAGGTGGTCATCATGGTGTTCCATAAAGTGGACCATGTCCTCCAGAGCTGCAGCTACGACATCGGTCTTTTCAGCATAAATCTCAGCCACAGTCTACATCAATACACAAATTGCGATTATGCGACAATGCATCCACCACTGTACCCCCCCCCCCCACGCACACAGCATGCTACCACCCAAGAACAGGTAAAGGCACACATGTTTATACTATAACGCATTCACTCCCCCCCCCCCCCCCCCGTACGCACATACGTACTTGTCCAAGAATAAAACAAAAACCAAACAACATTACCTGCAACAAACCTAGCTCATTACAAAAAAAAAAAAAAAAAAAAAAAAAAAAAAAAAAAAAAAAAAACCATTACGGAACAAAGACACACCCCGAACCAGAAAAGCACATGAATAGCATGACCACCAACCACCCCCCCCCCCCCCTTCCCACATAATAGCAATGCGCACAAATTAATGGCTTTAAACGCACAAACCCATACTAATCATAGAAACATCACGGTTATATTGTACTACACTCACCTTCTGTCCCAGGCGCATATAGCATACTTGTAAAAACAAATTGTATTACCACACAACCCATAACCACGGACACATGCCAACCTCATCACAAAAAAAAAAAAAAAAAAAAAAAAACAAAAAACAAAAAAATGACCATTACGGAACAAAAACACACACCAAACCATTTAAGCACATCAATAGCATGACCACCACCCACAACCCCCCCCCCCACGGAATAGCAAAATGCACAAATTACGGGCTATAAACGAACAAACCCATACTAATCATAGAAACAATTCGGTTATACTGTACTGCACTCACCTACCGCCCCCATGCGCATATAGCATACTTGTAAAATCAAACAGTATTACCACACCCCCAACAACCCCAGACCCATGCCAAAAAAACTAATAGTACGCACTAATTGAAGACTCTATACGCACAAACACATAGTACGTAAAGCTACAAAACAGTATAGAATACTTCATCACCAGCCGAATCAATTACGCGCATAGCATACTTGGAAGAAATAATTAAACAACATCACCAGCAAAAACTCACCCCCTTTACCAAAATTATCCATTACAAAACAAACAGAAACGCAACACCAAAAGCATGACCACCACAACACCCCACCCCCCACCCCCACAAAAAAGCAATATGCACTAAGTAACAGCTCTGTAAAAGCAATATGCACTAAGTAACAGCTCTGTACGCACAAACTGGCACACAAACACATACGAATCACACTACAGGCCACCCAAATTCACGGTACACACGTTCAACCAGAAATAAAAAACCCTTCCAGAAAATGACACAATTACCTTTTCAGGAGCAGCAACGTCAGGTGGATTGAGACCCCCTTCTTCATCGTGACCCTACCCCCAACACAAAGA